AGAGCACCAGCATCCCGCCGAAGACCACGTAGTCCAGCCACGAGAAACTGCCTCGTTTGCCCTCCGACCAATCGAACTGCGACTCGAGCATCTTGGCGTCGGATTTTTTCTTTTGATTTTCGTGTTTTCTCTACTGTATGGATTTAGTTAGCTCTTCGTAGAATTATTCTGCTGCCAATGTTAAAATTACTTAGTCGTCGTTATCTGTCGCACATACATGCCTGCAGTACTCTTCCCCGCAGTAAGTTACAGACTTACAGTACTGCAGCGCATGTGCGTTCGATAGTGAACTCTGGAATAAGATAAATAAAAGTTATTGATGCATATTCGAACAAAATTTTCTTTACGCGCTTTTGGTGAGCAAATAACTAATTTTAAGTGTCAATCAACAAATGACCATTAATAAGATATTTTAACAGAAGCAGAACATGTAAATAGTACTTTTAAAATAACGGTAATATCGATGAGAAATATTTTCACACACACACACACACACACACACACACACACACACACACACACACACACACACACACACACACACACACATAAAAAAGAAATACAGTAGAAAACAAGACGCAGTAATCTGTACTAGCCTAAATATAGAACAAATAATAAAAAACTACCGCAGGTCACCATCAGAATGAAGCAAAGGAGTTAAGATATTTAAATACAAGACATACTGTTTAAAAAACATTGAAAAAAATCGTTGTTATGTCCTTTCAAGGTCATATACGCTCATGCACACACACACATGAAACCTCTTCAGCTTTTAAGAGAAGAAAAAAAAGAAAAAAATCAACCTGCGTGTGTTACTAAGAACTAAAAGACCTTGACAAAGTCTGTAGGAGCATCTAAATTCTAGAACAAAAGAAATTTCCTATTCAATCGAAGAATTAAATGCATCATTTTGTTTTATATATCTAAAAAATCTTGCGCTGTCATTTAAATGACTTTAAAAATATCGTATTTCCTTGTATATTTGAGGAACGTTTTGTCTTGGAATTTTTTAACTAGATGAAGTTATGTCTTGTCTCTTTCTTGTTTGGTGCATGAAGCTGAATGCTAAATATGGCTGAAATCCTAGCTTCACGAACTGCTTATCCTCTGTAAATAGAACTAATGGCGTCCGCATTTATACTCTGAATTCTATATTTTATTAGCGATTTGTTTGTACTTTTTTCGTGCCAATATTTACAAATATGACTATGAATTTGATGCTTGGACACGTTAGTGGGTACAACTACGGATATATTTGCTTTTTTATTTGTTTGAACGTTTGCTGGAACGATGTGTATATTAGTCTTTAGGATAAACAAATGCATGTTTTATGTGCCAACTTGTGTCCCTATAGACTTACATCTGCGACAGTGACCTTGAACTACACGGACATTTAACTACAAAACATTTTAAAGCAATTTACATACGTACAGAAGTCACAAAAGTAAACGAAAATAATAATCATTCACGAAACATTTCTGAAAATAGCTAATATTGTGTTTGATTAATATCAACATAACCTAATCTGAATATTAATTGCACGTTAGACCTTATTGGACACGGACCTGAAGAGTGAAATCGGAAATCACAGCTTCATAGATCTAAACAAGGATGTTTACTTCTCTTTCCAATTTTTTTATTAATTTATTTTCCAAATACTTGTTCATGTCTTTCCATCAGTAACAGACATAGATAAGAGATCCCGTACCGGAAGCTGAGTAGATGAATATGATGATGACTTTGGTGTTGATGGTCGTGTTGTGATCCTGATGGTGATGCTATTATTTCTGCTTAAGTGATGTGGCAGAGATGGTATGATGGTGATGATGATGATGATGATGAATGACGATGAATGATGATGACGGTGATGATGATGATGACGATGACGATGATGATGATGATGACGATAATGATGACAATGATGATGATGACGCTGATGACATGATGATGATGAATGATGATGATGGTGATGATGACAAAGACGATGATGATGATGATGATGACGATGATGATGTGATGGTAATGATGACGATGATGATGGTGTTAATGATGGTGAAGCTTATAATTAATGAGTCTGAATGCGAAAGTCTGTTCAAATCAATCATGCTGATGACACCTCTGTTGCGTCCAGATCCAAGACCCATGAAGCAGTATACTTCAACATGCAACTCATAGTGGAACAATAATACTCTAGACTAAATCGTGAAAAATTACCTACTTCCTTCACCACACCAAGATGTAAGCCAAAAATGTGCAAGAGTGAAGAAAACAGAAAAGATTACTCATTATTTTCAGGAAACTGTGATGTCACATTTCAGACCATGAAATAACGTAAAATCATCCCATTAAAAAGGTCAATGAACGTGAAATGAACATCGTCTCTCTTTTCACTTAAAGAACTCAAAAAAGGAAAGTAGTTGAAGTCACCAAATGACTACTGAATTTTCGTGTTTTTATTCTTCAGCTAGAAAGAGTACAAAGGAGTTGATTATTGAATTCTCTCTCTCTCTCTCTCTCTCTCTCTCTCTCTCTCCTCTCTCTCTCTCTCTCTCTCTCTCTCTCTCTCTCTCTCTCTCTCTCTCTCTCTCTCTCTCTCTCTCTCTCTCTCTCTCTCTCTCTCTCTCTCTCTCTCTCTCTGCCTCTGTCTGTATCTGTCTCTCTTTCTTCTTTTCTATGTTCAGCAGCAAGATGTGTAAGCTGATTACTGATTCTTTAACCCTGCTGTGCTTCACAGAGAATGTCAGCTTCAGTCTATATATATATATATATATATATATATATATATATATATATATATATATATATATATATATATATATATATATATACACATACACATACATACATACACATACACACACACACACACACACATATATATGTACATATATATTTATGCTTATATGCATACACACACACACACACACACACACACACACACACACACACACACACACACACACATATATATGCATGCATAATATGTGACTCACAGAAAGTGATACAGTTTTACAGTTATGTAATTATCTTAAGAATTTACCCCTGAAAAATTAAGACAAATTTAATTCTATGCTTTTTCTTATTTGTATCTTGTAACAAGTTTTCCAACATTGGAACCTTGAATGACAACTGCTGTGCCGAACGAACGGTTTATATAAAAAAAAAAAAAATAATAATAAAAGATATAATAAAAACGTTTTTCATTACACATGAAAACATTGCGTTATGTATGTATACTGTGGAAACGTAATTTTTTAAATGGCTGTTACTTATCAATGCCTACTATATTATTTCCTCGGACAGACCTATGGTACTGTCTATCCTATGTACAAGGCAGAAAATAACAATACATTTATAATAAAAGAGAGTAGAGAACATTGGTATTGCAAAAAAAGAAAAAGAAAAAAACTAATTTAATTATAATTTCCTCGGACAGACCGATGGTACTGTTTATCCTATGTACATGATATATAATAATAATACATTTATAATAAAAAAAAGAGTAGAGAACATTGGTATTAAAAAAAGAAAAAAAAAATCTTCACGTGATTGTGCAGTTATATCTCAGAGCCATTTGGCAAGGCAGGCTCAAGGAGTTTCAGAGGTCATCCACGTCCCTCGGGGCAAGGCTGGCCGAAGGTTCCAGGCTGACAGAAATAACACAAATCTCATACACCCACACACGCGTACAGACATATGTACACAGACGCACAAACCCGCACACACACACAGACAAACACACACACACACACACAAAGGGGGAGGGAGGAAGAAAGAGAGAGAGAGAGAGAGAGAGAGAGAGAGAGAGAGAGAGAGAGAGAGAGAGAGAGAGAGAGAGAGAGAGAGAGAGAGAGAGAGAGAGAGAGAGAGAGAGAGAGAGAGGGAGTCCCTGTAGCCCTCCCATGGAGCGGGATTCCATGTATTGCAGTGCATTAAATGCGTCGGCTATTTGATGGTAAATGCCCCTTATCTTCCTGTTTCAATGCCACCTCAATGCACAACTCTGTGTTTGTCTCTACGTTTCTCTGTTTGTCTGTTTTCCCCGCCTCTGTCCCTCCTCTCTCTTTCTCATACACACACGCAACACCACAACACAATACACACACGCATATACAGACAAACACACATAATACAGACACACATACAGAGATACAGAGAGAGAGAGAGAGGAGAGAGAGAGAGAGAGAGAGAGAGAGAGAGAGAGAGAGAGAGAGAGAGAGAGAGAGAGAGAGAGAGAGAGAGAGAGAGAGAGAGAGAGGAGAGAGAGAAGAGAGAGAAACAGATAAGATAGAGAGACAGGGGAGGAGTGAAGAAAGGAAGAAAAAAAACAATAAAACAACAAACCAATCAAACAAATGATAAAAAATCTCAAAGACACGCGGAAAGTCCTCAGTCACAACAAATAAATTCACTTTATTTGTCTCATCCCCCAGCACCCTCACCGTCCCTAACGCACCCACCCCAGCAACAGAGGAACACAGACAAACACCGTACGTCGAACGAAGAGTCTATCAGATCTAATGTCATAATCAGATCACTTTTATTGAAGCGTCACTGCCCACGATCGTCCCCTGACATGTGAGTAATGTACCAGACAATAAATAGTCACCAACATAACCTTGATTTTCTAGCCGTGACTGAGGTGACCGGGTTGAGCAGATTATGAGGTCGGATATTTTTTTTTATCTAATTTGTTTATGTTAAAAGCGCTAGGTGTGTTGTGGAAATTGTGATGATGAGGATGAGGATGATGATGATGATGATGTTGGTGATGGTGATGGTGATGATGATGATGATGATGTTGGTGATGGTTATGGTAATGGTGGTGATTTTTTCAGTAATGATGGTACTAATAATAATATCGGTGGTCACCATGATAATAAGTTTAATAGTAATAATGATAAGAATGTTCATAATAATAATAATAGTGATAATGATGGTAATAATGACAATGATAATAAAAGTGATGATAATAATGATAAATAATAAAAAAGATAATGATAATGATGTTATTGGTGGTAATGATAATTCCATCACTTTGAATAATAATCATAATATTGATAATCATGATAATAGTAACGATAATTATAATGATTGTTATAATAAATTCATGGTAATAACAATAACAGTGGTAATCATTATCAACGTTAGTTACATTTTACTGGTAATGTATGAGATCGTGATAATGATAATGATTATGATAGTATTGTTAATGATAATCATTATGATAATGATAACGGTAATGATAATGATAAAGATTATGGAAATGTTGATGGTAATGATCATGATGCTGCTGATGATCATCATAATAACAACGATAACAACAAAACAATAAGAATAACAATAATATATAGTAATAACGATAACAAACATAATCAACAATAATAACTATTATAATAATGTCGTTGCTGCTGTTGATGATGGTGGTAATAATGATAATAATGATGATGGTAATGATAATATAAATTATCATGAAAATGGTGATACCAATATCGATAGTGATAGCAGCAACAGCAAAATGAAGCAATAAGGTCGATAAAAAAGGAATAGCAACAACAGAACCGGAAACCTCAAACAGCAACGTTAACGAGAGAAACGTGATATCAAGCGAAACAAACAGGGAAACCATTAACGTTTCTGTTTTTTTTTTTTATCTTATTATTATTCTTTTTTACGTTGTGTTGTGAGATCCTTTCGTATGATGTATGATTTTTTAAAATTCGTTATTTCTTGTTGTCGCTTTCCATTATTATTTGTTCGACATTTTCCGTTGATTTCGTATTCGTCGTCCAGTTTTGCTCCTTTGCTTTCTGTACATTATGGCCGGTTTTTCTTATCGTAAAATCATTTCATCTATCTTCTGTCATCATCAATTTATCAATGCCATCATCCACACGATAGCCACAGTTATCCATTCTCCTTTTCCTCTGAATTACCAGACCGGACACTAAACTCAACTTAAGCGCAAATAGTACACAACTTACCAAACCTCCCAGAACCAAGCACAAAAACACACTAACGCAGCTACTACTGTCAATACCACAACGAAACAACAGAAACAAACGAAAAACACAAACAAATACATGCTCACACTACTACTACCATCCCAACACTATATGACACAAACAACCCAACACACACCAATCACACAACAAACATCTACACACCACCATAACACATCAACACCCACAAACAACACAAAGCATACGACAACTCTACAATCTAACAACCAATATCCATGAAATTTAGAAAGACGTGAAACCACACACACCAAACACAACCACACCATACACACTCCCACACCTCATCATAACAATACACTATACGCAATAATCCCACCTGCCAGGATCTTTAATTTCTCACCTAGATAAGTGACCGAACTTTATCGTTTCATACCTCCCATCAGCTAACCACAATCGCCACATACCGTTCTCCTAACCTCTCTCTTCTCTCTTGCTCTCTTCCTTACTCCATCCGTCATGACCCCTACTCTCCTCAATCCTCCCCTCTACTCTCCTCACACACACCACACACACACAACACACATTTATCCGCATAGCTATATATGTATGTAAATGAATAAATGAATTCAAATTATCTATCAACGCAGAAAAGCACACAGTCACAATTCAAAACAAACGCGAGCCCCCGCAAGACACAACGTACGGGACAAACAATAAATCATACCTATACATACACAATATTAGCGTATTTGTGTATGTGTATGTTCTATATATATATTTCATACCTCACTATATCTATATATACAGCCAACCTATCATACTATATATCATTCAGCATACATCTACTATTATATAAATATATATCAGTGTGTTCCGTGTGTGTGTGTGTGTGTACGAGTCGTCGTGTGTAGGTGTGTGTGTGTGTGTGTGTGTGTGCTGTTGTGTCGTGAGGCGTTGTGCTACATATTTATATTTACTATATATGTTAAATATGATTTATATGCATATTGAATACTATTCATTCAAATACACTTATATGTTCTCCCCTATATATATCACCATTACATTATACACTATTGTTTCCTATATCATATAACTATACCTACTTTGCACTAATATTAGGATCTAATTGATCACATCTACCAACTGCGATATAGCGGCTAAATATATATGCATGTGATGTGTTTAGTGTGGGAAATGTTTGTTTTGTGGTGTGTGTGTGTGCAGTGTTGTGGGCTGTGTGTGTGTGTAGTGTAATACTATACATGACTTACATATAATATGTCAATATATACATATGTTCATACACTATATATTATCAACATATACATCTACAATACAAAAACTACTAACCATATCCAATATGTTAACATATACACACTAATAACTCGCGTGTTCCTTACACACACACCAACACACACACCACAACAACCAACAAAACACACACAACACTATCCTCCACGCGAGCACACCACACCAACCCACACACACACACACACAAAAACAGCGAGCACACAACCAGCACACACACAGCACATAACAACCACACGTCATCACGGCACATAAATTACACTAAACATACTACATACATAAACCGCATAAATCACAACACTATACATAACTAACATAACTTCTTACACACAATCAACACAACACCCGACAACACACACACACACAACACACACACACACACCACACACACACCAACACACACGCAACACACCACACACACACAAATATAACATATAATCATACTAATAATAATATACATTATATATATATTATATAGCTACTACATCAATACTAAAATATAATACAACAAAATACCACACACCCCACACGCTCCATATACATTACCATACGTACATACTTATACATACAAACATCTCATATCTCATCATATCCTACCCATCAACTCCTCTCTAGTCTCTACCACTCATACACATAAAACCATCACATCACTAACCACCACTCAAAATCCAACCAAACACTCTACCATCATCTCTCCCTCCCCTCTCTACTCATACTTACTCCTACCTCCTCCCATCTCTTCCTCTACTCTTATCCCTCCACTCATCCTCCACTCCTCTTCATCTCCTACTCACCCTCCTCAGCGCATCTAATACAAACTATATACCCACACTATCACTACTACACATACTAGCGACACTAGCACACACAATACAGTGTAAGTCATCAATGTACTATATATATCATACATATATCTATACACAAAAACTAACTAAATTCAAATATAGTCATTAATAAACAAGTTATATAGAGATAATAATAAATATAAAACCCACAACAACAACCAACACCACCATACACACACACAACTAAAACACACCCATACATCACCACCACACACACACCACCACACACACAACACACACAACACACACCACCACGTCCTAACAAACCAATATACATACATATCCCCCCGTACACTACGAAATACATATCTCCACTACACACACACCACACACACACACACCACACACACACACACACACACCACACACACACCACACACACACCACAACTCAAGGTTTACCTATAATACCTCTACTAATTCATATATTATATAAATAATATAATATTATAGCTCAACTTACAATTCATTAATCTACTTACTTTTACTAATATCCCTTTTTACTCTATCTTTATACCTCATACTACTAAATATTATTTATACTATCAACATATATCACAACACTAATTCACACGTCGCATATTTTTCTTAACATACGTACCGTACATCGCGACCTTATCAGTACCAACCAATCGCGTCCTCTCTCCTCTCTCATCTACTCTCTCTCTACTCCACTCTCTCTACCTCTCTCTCCTCTCTCTCTCTCTTTCTCTTCTCTCTTTCATGCTTCTCTTTTTCAATCTTCTCTCTCTCTCTGCTCTCCTATAACATCATACTTATATGTGGTGCGTGTGTGTGTGTGTGTATGTGTGAGTGAAGACGCGGGTGTGTGGGATCACGCCCTGTGCCGTGTGCTGTAACTTGTGCTGTGTGTTGTGAGGATGGGTTATGTGCTGGTGTGTGCTGTTGTGTGGATGTGTGGTGTTGTGTGTGTTTGTAGCGACACACACAACACACACAGTATAATATTACTATATATGCATGTTATGAGAGAGAAGATGAGATCCCTGAGATGAGACGAGATGAGAGAGAGAGAGGGAAAGTTGACGAGAGAGAGAGAGAGAAGAGAGAGTGAGATAGGAGAAGAATTGAGAACGAGAGAGATGACGAACGACGAGATCACGACGAGACTGACGAGAAAGTGTCAGAGAAAAGCTGAGCAGACGAGTGAGAGAGAGTGTTGAGCAACGGTGAAAGATCGAGAGTGGAGTGAGTTGAAAACGAGATTATGTGACCGAGAGTTTGAGAGACGGAGTGAGAGCTAAGTGAGAGAGAGTGACGAGCGAGAGACGTGAGTGAGCTAGAGACGACGAGATAGCGAGAGTATGAGACGAGAGACGAGACCACGAAAGATCGGAGAAGTATTGATGATGGAGAGAGAAGAGAGAGACGAGATAGAAGTAGAACATCGATGAGACCTATAGAAGAGAGAGATGAGATGAATAGAGAGACGCGTGACCCTGGAGGATCTGAGATCCCGAGAGATAGATGAGAGATGAGAATGATAGCGTGATAGGAACTGATTTGGATAATTACACTATACTTTCCAAAGAGATTATCTAAATGTCTATTTCAGAAAAAAAATATTTGGAGATTGCCAGAAACCACAAACTGCTCATAATCAACTTTGTGTTCACCAATAACAGATTTTTTTCCATGCCTTTTACTTGACAGCTACCTGTTCTCTTCAATAAACAGAACTTTGCACTTAACCACCGAAAAACAGAATCGCAGTCAATCTCACTGAATTTTACGACACGACAAATACCATCAAAAGTTCCAAACGCGGGCTACAGAAGAATGCCCTAATCAATTTACATTTACACTTGAATTTCACTCGAGCAAGGACGCGCCTACGTCTCCCCTGCGTAACAGCTCGAGGTGCACTGCTGTCAGACGCCCTCTCTCTCTCCCTCCCTACCTTGTGTCCTTCGGTTTCGACTGATCGAGTAGAAACTTTCACTTTTTTTTCCTTTTATCATTTACTCTTTAGATAAGTTACCCATATGTCTATATAGAGAGAAAATGGCCACGATCAGGCGATTAGGCTTAACACGTGACAGGTGTATCAGCGGATGGCTTAAAGAATAATCGGCAACTCGAGGCTCACGCACAAACATACATACGCAAGAAACCTGAATTTCCACTCACTCTGCACTAAGTCTTCTGGACGGCGGGACATTTCTTGGAAATTAAACTGCCATGTGAAAGTGCAGGATAATTGCATGCATCAAATCTCAGAGAAAAGAGGTCGAAATGATAGAAATGAACTGCAAAAAAATTACGTTTAAAAATTCAGAAAAATTCTCTGTAAAAATCGTAAGTTTTATCACCGAAAGGAGGCTTAACACCCGTAGATCTTACACGATGCGGATGAAGCCAAAAAATAAAGCAGTCATATGTAAACATCAGGCTTCTCCAATGTGCAACAGCTGATTGGGAAAGTCCGACGCCTTTGTTGTGCGGGCACCTGGATGTCACCTTGGTATAGCTTCAGTGTATTTTTGCAAGCAGCTGAGTATAAAAGATAAAGCAATTGGGACTTTAAACACAGGCACTGATGAATAACTATATGGTTATCAGAAAATACACATCCAAAAGCGACATCTACACACAAAGTTACACAACTATACAAAAAAAGGAACATGAACAACTTTATTACTCATTAGATTAACAGATAGACGGTTGAGATACAGATAAAATAAAGTACAAACGCATACAGACGGTAGAAAACAGAAAAAAAGATAATGTTGATTTTAGTACAAAGGTAAAAATAAAGAGGGCGTTCCATAAAACTAGTGAAGGAGGTTGCACAGTTACGGTAGTAAAAGGATTGCGTACTGCGGTGTGTTTGTGTGTTGACATGATACGAGCAGATGCATTCATAAAAAGATGACGCCCGTACGCATAAATCGCACACGCACACATATGAACACATATATACCTCTCTCTTTCTCTCTCTCTCTCTCTCTCTCTCTCTCTCTCTCTCTCTCTCTCTCTCTCTCTCTCTCTCTCTCTCTCTCTCTCTCTCTCTCTCTCCTCTCCTCTCTCTCTCTCTCTCTCTCTCTTCTCTCTCTACTCTCATATATTATTATATACTATATCTCTATATATTCATATATATATCCTATTAATTGTCACTGTATGTATCCCATACATGTGTGTACATATATATACATATATACAGTACTTATGAATATGCATATATATGTATATACACACACATCTGTACATATATATATGTGTGTGTATATATATTATTGTATGTATATGGATATGTATACTATACATATATACTATAATCATATATACATATGTATATAACTTATATATATATACTGTCCTACGTTTATTATATATCATGTACACAACACCACACACACACACACAACACGACCACACCACACACACACACGCACACACCACCACACACACACACACCACATATATATACTATATACTATATATATATATATTAATATATTATTATTATACCTTTTATACATATACACGAGGGTGCTGTGCTCGTGCCACATCCTAGTACACACACGACACATCAACATCTATCACCACACACATCATTACACACACAACCCACACGGACACCACACACATCCACATCACACGAGCATAATTATAATTATCCTTATCATACTACCTACATATATTATATCTATACAATCTTATCAAATTATTATGTATTCTCCAATGACTATGTATTACTATACGTACATGTATAGTGTGTGCGTGTGTGCTTCGTGTATGCACTACATGCCACACTACACACAAAAATGTGTTTGTATTAAATGCGTTCTGCCAACTCTCATATGCCAATCCTCCAATATTTCATCTACACAATGTACTATCTCAAGCTACACGCGCCGGTAACAGCCCAGCCCACTAAAAACAATTTACCTTTTCCCCGTTTAATTCCGGCCTAACATTCCCACGCCATTACCTCTCCTTTCTGATCGATCTTCTTTGTTTCTTCTTCTGTCTCAACATTTCCATATACTGAACACAGTGCGGCAATGAAGGAAAACAATTGACCTGAAAATGGAATTTAGATCCTTAAAAGAAGATCGAGCGTTATACGTAAGCAATAGTTCGCCACGAGTATAGCCAAGTGACTTAAAAAAAGATATTGCCTTATGTATTATTGAACTCCATCGTTCTCGGACTACATGATATCGTTAGAATGTTGACAAAGAACGTACAAAACTCAACATTCAAAGAAGGATTTCGAGTCCTGTTCGTCGCGAGTCTTCGCCCCTACACACCAGCCCAGATTTCGCATAAGATCAAAATATAACCGTCCTTGCCTCGCGCCGGCGCTATCGAGTGCACCGACATCTGTTTTGTCGACTGCTGTAGAACTTTGGATAACGTGAATTCGCGAGCAGGTAAACGAATAGGGGCAGTTACTTTCATGGCTAAGTAACCTTCAGCCGCTTTCATTTCTCTCTCTCCTCTCCTAGCTGTCTATTTCTCTCTCTCTCTCTTCTCTCTTTTTCTCTTTCCTGTCTGTCCTCTCTCTCTTCTCTCTCTCGTCTCTCTCTCTCTCCTCTCCTCTCTCCTCCTCTACTCTCTCACCCCCTCTCTCTCTCTATCTCTTTTCTCTGCCCTCTCTCTCCCTCTCTCTCTCTCCTCTCTTCTCTTCTCTCTCTCTCTTCTCTCTCTCTCTCTCTCTCTCTCCTCTCTCCTCTCTCTCTCTCTCTCCTCTCTCTTCTCTCTCCTGCTTCCTTCTCTCCTGCCTTCTCTCATCCTCTCTCTCTGTGCCTCTCTCTGCCTCTCTCTCTTTCTTCTCTTCTTCTCTCTCTGGCCTCTCCTCTCACTCTCTCTCTCTCTCTCTCACTCTCTCTTTCTGTCTTGCTTCTCTCCTCTTCTTTTCTGTCTGCCATTCTCTCCCTCTTTCTGTGTGCCTCTCTCTCTCTCTCTTCTCTGTCTGCCTCTCCCTCTCTCTGTGCCTTTCTCTCTCTCTCTCTTTCTGTCTGCTCTCTCCCTCTATTTAAGGATGCCTCTCTCTCTCTTTTCTCTTATATGCCTCCTCTGGTGTGTGCTGTCCTGCTTTCTTCTCTCTCTCTCTCTCTTCTGTCTGCCTCTCTCTCCCTCTTATTTGTCTGCCTTCTCCTCCTCTATTTAAATCTCGCCTCTCTCTCTTTTTCCCTATATGCTCTCTCTCCTCATTTCTCTGTTCTGCTCTCCTCTCTCTCTCTCTCTCTTCATCATCTCCTCCCTTACTCCCCTCCTCTTCCCTCTCCTCTCTCCTTCTCTCTCTCTCTCTCTCTCTCTCTCTCTCTCTCTTCTCTCTCCTCCTATTACTATTCATATATATCCTACTTATCTCATCTACTATATTAATCCTACATTATTAAATATACATATATCCTATATACGTATTTATACCACCACAACTCACACACATACACAATGTATTCTATGATATATTTTTGTTCGTGTGTGTTTTGCGTGATTTGTACATGATAGCTAAATCAATCAAATAGATAGACCTATTATATACTACATCCAAGCATCTAGATATGAAATACTGATATAAGACAGCTATAAGTTAAACGGCATTTTGCACTATAATAACTGTGAAGGCAGGTAGAAAAAGCTCTGGCACGCGAACTGAGACAATGGCATAGAATGACAAAATGGAAAAGGCTACCTCATTAACATTACGAGCTTGGCTTGCTATGCCAAATTCCCTGCCACCGGGAGAGAAAATTTGCCTTATATATACACTGTATGTGTTGAAAGGACAGACGTAAATATAACTTCATAGATTCTGACTATCTCTATTTCTCAGTCTTATAATGTGTTTGCTATGAATTTATCCCAGGGGAAACCTCTGTGACAAATTATTGTATATATATACTATTAATTATCACTTCATTCTCATTATACCTTCATTTTCACCTATAATATACTTATATATACCTTCTATCTACCATTATATATTTACACACACACATACATGGGTATATTATTATTATATTATATACCTTATGAGTGAGTATCCATTTCTACCTATTCACTATTTATTATATACATATATATATATATATTTATTAATCTATATATTGCACACACACACATACATTGCATATATCATACACCTTATATCCTTCATTTATCCTATATAAATTAAACTTACCCACTATAATTTATACCTATTTTTTTTCTATATACAATAATAATCATAAATAAATATAAACTTAATATATGTGTGCTCCTTTCCATTGTGTGTGTTGGTGTTGTGTGATGTGTCTTACAATAATATTCGCTCACTTACTTCCACACTGTGTGATCTGGTTGTGATGTGTACTGTGTGTGTGTGTGTAATTTAAAACAATACGACACGCAATGTCCCGTACTAAAGCACCGGTTCAAACACACACACCACACACGCCCACCCGCAGCTGTTATTACAATATATCATACATCAATATACATATCAGTTAACATATCATATATATTATTATCATACTAAATAAATTATTTATAACTTATATCTATACTATGTGTGTGCTGTTGTGTGTGTGCAAAAAATTATCTTTTCTATGTGTGTGCGTTGTGTGTGTGTGTGGATGTGTGTGTGTGTGCGTGTGTGTGTGTTGTCGTGTCCGGTGTCTGTGTGTCGTCTCGCTCTATCTGTGTGTGGTGTCGTGTGATACTGTATGTATGTCATAATATATGTATATACTATTATATACATAAACCATACTAATTATTCATATTATAAATAACATATACTAATATAATATATACCCTATAATACAATATATATATCTCACTTTAATATTAGTACTACTCAAATAATAAATAATATATGCCATAGTTTATCATGCCATTATAATGCTTGTGATTTGTGTATAG